AGACGACGCATTCTCTCAATCAATCTTTCTGTATTTTTTTTATCAGAGACGTGAGAAAACTCTAGCCATGAGCCTCCCTTTATATATACCTATAGAACAATGATTAACCCTAAGAAACTTTCTTTCTTTGTAGTTACTAGTTATCATTTCTTTCTTTTGCTCTAAAATATATTCTTCAAATCTCTTTCTCCTTTCCCTCCAAGTAAATATATTTTTCCTTTTTCTAGCCCAACCAAAGCTTGTGAATATCAATACAAGAGCTCCTCTTCACAAATCACACAACTCAGTTTATGTATCACTATTTGAAGTACTCTCTGTAGTACAATCGACTGGTACACGAAAAACTCCAAAACAACTCCTCTCAAATTTTTCCGATACTAAAATTTTTCACGAAATTGTATGATTGGTAATAAAATAAAGTGAAAACAAGAATTTAACAACGATGTTGATGATGAGATTATCCATATTACTAAAACCTTTATTTATTTCGTTTTCGCTTTTCTTTTTAGTTTAATAAAAACAGCTGAAGCAAAACCACTACTCACAATTTTTGATATATATTTATGTAGTGGTTAGGTTATGTAGTGAACTACATATATGAATATAGAACAAGTTATAGTCACTACTCACGTTCTGATGGATGATTACGTTACGGACAAAAAAGATTTGTATGATCAACTACGTCGTTTTCTATAAAACGAAATTTCATTTCCAATGGGCACTAGTCTCGAGTTTTGATTAAAAATGTAACTTAGATTAACACTATTAGTTTCTTATTACTAAATACTTTTTGTATAAAAAGATAAACATTAATAGTATTCGTCAAACGAAGTTGTTAATAATTTTGATCATCCTTACGAAAGTCACCTTTTTCAAGCAAGTAATAATTTGAATCTTGAACAATCTGAACTTTCAAAAAGCTAAGAATCAAAGCTTTGTATTGTTGTTAGTTTTGTATTGCCATCGTTTTGTAGGAGTATCTCTAAATTTTTTAAAAAATGTGAATTTTTATTAAATATTATTTTTCTGAAAATTTCCACTTTAGAATATCCATTTTTAAAAATACCACATTTTTCCCATTATCTAATACCGTTTCTAATTATACCATTAAAAATTGTATAACCATTTAGACACTTATTTATTGACTACCCTTAAACTAAACACCCTTCGTTCTCGGTCTCTATAGGCCCATAAAAC